TGAAAGATGATGTTTAGTGCTTACATTGTTGAAATTAGCTGAGGTAGAGACAGTCCTTGATAAGAAGAGCTGGTCCCAAGAACCAGCCAATGAGGTAAAGACAGTCCTTGATAAGAAGCAGGAGCAGGCCCCAAGAGCCAGCTAAGACTGGTCTTGCGGCTTGGGTGAATACCAAGAAATCACTGAGCCTGCGCAAGGAAAAAGGTTACTAGCGGTGACGAAGAGGAGTCATCTATCTTCATCTCTGCGACCACCAGACGACCACCATAAAGAGGCCCTGCGCAGGCGCAGTTGGGAGGGGACTATGGAAATGACCTCTCGGAGCTAATTTTAATATGAAGCGGGGATAGGTCATGCATATGTATAGGCATATTGTGAATATGTAATACCTGACTGTATAAACTTGAGGCGAACTGCCGAGTCGGGCGCGCACGACTTTGGTGGGACTACCCCCCGTGCTGCCCAGCGCTGAATGAACATACCTACTTTACAATCTCACTGATTGTGGAGTCTGTTTTCCGCACGTCAGTTTGGCGAGCCAGGCAGGAGACTCTCTGCTCGGCTGCGGGACCGAGTGCGGAGCGGACGCCCCGAGGCACGCCCTGAGCATTTTCCTCGGAGGAGCCTCTGCTGCCAGCTGCTCACCACGGGAGCAGACAACAACCTCCTGAAGCCGCGGACCAAACGGTATGTTTTACAAGGGGAGCCTGTAAAAGTACGGGCCGGGGCAGCTGGTAAATAGCACAGAGACGTCTGGCGTGCAGCGTAGTCCCCGTATGGGAGGAGGGTACCCTGTATGGGGGGATTTGCTGACCGATAGAGCGGCCGCTAGCGATCTTGGGGGTAGATCGAGCAAATCCGGGGTGACCGCTGTATCCCAGTATCGGGAGCCAGGACGGACCTGTCGATGACTGGTATATAAGAGGTAGGAGAAGGGTAAGCGCACCCCCTCGCACCCCCTCGCAATTGCGCTTGGTTTATGGGGTAAGTGGACCCCCTCGCAATTGCGCTTGGTTTATTTTTGCAGCTGCTGAAGGTTGTCAACTGGAGTGATGACTGTATGATGTGAATGTTTGGAAATTTATGTTAAGGATTTTGTGTGGGTGTGTGGAAATGGTATGTTGAAATTTATAGGTGTATGTATGTTTGTTAATGTGGGAATGTCTTTACGTATTAACAGGGGTGATTCCTTGCTTTGTATGTGGGCTTGCAACTAACTATGTAATAATTAGCATCCGGCTTGGGTTTTGTTGAAGTGTAAATCTTGTGGGAGAAGCTGGTACTGTACATGTAGCAGACGGAAACCAGACTGCCTTGAGTGTTTTCTCCAAATTCCACACTTTTATGATTGGGAAAGAGCTCACTAAGAATCCAAAATACTGAGATTGGTGTGTAAAGGAAAATTTAATTCCAGAAATTTGGGATGTGTGGGAGGAAAACTGGGGAAGACTATAAAAGAAGTGTAAGAAACAATTTGCATGGAAGCTTATTAAAAGGAGAAGCCAAGATCAAACTTAAGAATCATTAGGAGGAGTTATAAAATGGGAAACAATCAAGGAGGAATATCGAGGAAAAGTCCTCTGGGTTGTGTAATTGCCCACTGGAAAGATATTGTTGGGACCGGAGGTACGGAAAGTAAAAAGAACCTTATTAAATACTGCAATCAATGGTGGCCGTTGTATAAGTTAGAAAGTGATGCTAAGTGGCCACTTAATGGATCACTAGATTATAATACTCTATTACAACTAATGTTGTTTTTAAGGAGAGAAGGAAAATGGGATGAGGTTTCGTATGCAGACATGTTTTTCACCCTCCGAAATCATCCGGAGTGGCAAAGGGACTGTGGAATGGTACCCCCACAGGACCACATGGTGCTTGCACTTGAGCGAGAGAACAACGAGGAGCTTAGAGGTAAACTGAGGCGGTGTTGTTCGGCATGTAGTATTGGACAAAGATGTACAAAGACAAATAAAATTCATCAGCTACCAGAACAAGATCTAACTGATTTGTTTAAGCCTCCCCCTCGACCACAGGAACAGGATGCAGACTCGGATAGAACTCCGACCCCCCCGGACAGCCCTGTATCTTCCCGTACTAGGAAGAAAACTACCTCAACAGCTTTACAAGCACCTCTCCGAGAGGCGGTGAGGCCGGATGGTGGGACGATGTTAATCAAAGTACCCTTTTCTACTGCTGACCTAGGGGAATGGAAAAAGGTTGCAAAAGATTATAGGAGTGATCCGGTAAGTGTAACTAAACATTTCCAATTTATTGTAAAACAGCATAACCCTGATTGGAAGGATATACAGCTATTATTGGAATATATGACTCAGACAGAGAAACAGCTGATTTTAAAAACAGCAGGGAACCTTGCTGAAGATCATGATAAGATTGCAGGAGGGGACATTAAGGTATATTTCCCTCTCCAAGACCCAAAGTGGGATGTTAATAGATCTGCACATATGGAAAGATTGCAGGGGTATCAGGAGTGGATTACAAAAGGAATGGAGAGAGCGATCCCCAAAACTATAAACTGGTCAGCTTTATATGCAGTTAAACAGAGTCCTTCCAAGTCTCCATCTGAATTCCTGGATCGACTGAGGGATGTAATGCGCCGCAGCACACCGCTGGATCCTGGGTCAGAGGTAGGAATACAACAATTAGTCTCCCTGGTTTTGGGTCAATCTACAGGGGATATAAGGCGCAAACTTCAGAAATTACGCCCTACAGAGAGTAGGAATTTAGAAATATTGTTGGATGAAGCATGGAGAGTATTTAGTAACAGAGAAGAAGGATATAGGCAAGGGCAAAGGAAATTAATGGCTGTTATTCAGGAAGAAAGAGGAAGAGGGCCTAGATGAGACTTGCCCCGACTGGGCAAGGATCAATGCGCTTTGTGTAAGAAATTCGGTCATTGGAAAAGGGAATGCCCAAGGAACAAGGAGGATCAGAGGGCTCAAACAGGAAGAACGGTAGCCCCTGTGAAGGGAGACTGACGGGAACCTGGGGAATCTACCCTAGCGGATCCACTGGTTATAATTAAGCTAGGGAAAACACAACAAGAGGTAGAATTTTTGGTAGATACAGGAGCAACATACTCGGTTTTGAATCAGGCTTTGATGCCCCTGGGAAATGATTATGTCATGGTGAAAGGAGCGACTGGCCAAAGTGAAAAGGCATATTTTTGTAAACCTTTAGAATATAAATTAGGAAAACAGTGGGGCATTCATAAATTTTTATATATGCCCAACTCCCCAAAGCCACTTCTGGGAAGGGACTTGTTGGAACAATTGGGAGCAAAAATTGTATTCAAAAAGGGAGAAATTACTCTGGAGGTAAAAGATCAGCAATATATTCAAATATTGAGCCTAACCTTAACCAGTCTCCCCCTAGAAGGAAATATTAACGAGGACATCTTAAACCAAGTGTACCCGGGGGTATGGGCTACTGATGCACCTGGAAGAGCGAAAAGTGCTCCACCTGTTGAAGTTAGGATCAAGGAAGGCCGAAAGCCGGTAAGAATTAAACAATATCCCCTAAAGAAGGAAGACAGAGAAGGAATCCGGCCGGTGATAGAAAAATTTTTGCAGTTGGGGTTACTAAAAGAGTGTGAGTCTGAATTCAATACCCCTATATTACCTGTTTGGAAGCCCGATGGGTCATATCGGGTGGTCCAAGACTTACGGGCGGTGAATAAGATAACTGAAGATCTTTACCCGGTAGTGGCGAACCCATATGCCCTGTTAACGGTATTAACACCTGAATTAACTTAGTTTACTGCTTTAGATTTGAAGGATGCTTTCTTTTGCCTCCCTCTCCATGAAGCCAGCCAAAAATTATTTGCATTTGAATGGGAAAACCCCAAGAGTGGTCGAAAGACCCAGCTCACTTGGACGGTGTTGCCACAAGGATTTAAGAATAGTCCTACCATTTTTGGCAATCAGCTTGCAAAAGACTTAGAATCCTGGGAAACCCCGTCTGAGGAGGGGAAGCTGTTGCAGTATGTGGATGATATCCTGATCACCACCAAAACAGAGAAAGATTGTATGACATGGACGGTGAGTCTGTTGAATTTCCTGGGACTCCAGGGGTACCGGGTATCCAAGAAAAAGGCACAGGTAATGCAACGCAAAGTGAATTATTTGGGCTATGAAATTAGTGCGGGACAAAGAACTTTGGGACAGGCCCGTAAAGAGGCAATATGCCAAACTCAGAGACCTCAGACAGTGAAAGAATTATGAACTTTTCTGGGAATGACAGGGTGGTGCCGATTGTGGATCTATAATTATGGATTGCTTGTTAAACCACTGTATGCGTTGACAGCCACTGAGCAGAAACACCTTGAGTGGAACAAGGAGACCGAACGAGCCTTTGAGCTACTGAAAAAGGCTTTGATGTCAGCCCCGGCCTTAGGACTCCCAGATGTGAGTAAGCCGTTTCTTCTTTACTCCCACGAGAAGCAGGGCATTGCCCTGGGAATATTAGCACAAAACCTGGGCCCATATCGACGGGCAGTTGCCTACCTCTCTAAGCAGTTAGACGCGACTGCAAAAGGTTGGCCTGGATGCCTGCGGGCAGTTGCGGCTGTTATACTGAATATACAGGGGGCCAAAAGTTTACTCTGGGCCAGAAAATGACTGTTCTGGTGTCTCACACAGTATCAGCAGTACTGGAAGCAAAAGGTGGAAAATTGGCTCTCTCCACAAAGATTCCTGAGATATCAAGCTATATTGGTAGAGCAGGATGACGTGGAGATTGTAGTCACTAACATTGTCAACCCAGCTTCTTTTCTCAGCAGGAACACAGGAGAACCGGTACATCATGACTGTTTGGAAACCATCGAAGCAACATACGCCAGTTGCCCAGACCTGAAAGACAGCCCCATGGAAAACGGGGAAACTTGGTTCACAGACGGAAGCAGTTACGTCCTAAATGGTAATCGACATGCGGGATATGCCGTCACCACCAGCCAAGAGGTAATAGAATCAGGGGCTTTGCCCATGAACACCTCCACACAGAAGGCAGAAATAATTGCTCTAATCCACGCCCTGGAATTGGCCCAGGGCAAAGTTGTGAACATTTATACAGACTCAAAATATGCCTTTGGAGTTGTACACGCACATGGAGCAATTTGGAAGGAGAGAGGACTATTGAGTTCTCAAGGGAAAAATATCAAACACGCAGAAGAAATTCTGAAGTTACTGGAAAACGTCCAGCTCCCTAAGAAAGTAGCAATTATGCATATTAAGGCACACCAGAAAGTGAGCTCAGATTTGGAAAAAGGGAATGAGCTGGCGGACAGAGAGGCAAAACAAGTGGCCAAAACAAAGGTAAAACCAGAAGGGGCCTTAATTCCTGATAGGCAGATTTCCCTAGAAGGTAAGCCAGAATACACCAAGGAAGATCAAAAGCTCATTACAGATTTAGAAGGGTCATATAATGAAGAGGGGTGGGCTCATACCCCACAGGGAAAGCTAATCATTCCCTCTTGCTTACTGTGGCGTTTGATATGGGAGGAACATAGGAAAAGACATTGGGGAACAGAGACTCTATATAATCATTTGATAAGAGAAATTGTGGCTAGAAATTTATACACCACGGTGAGACAGGTGACACAACAGTGTGATCTTTGCCTCCAGACTAATCCTAAGAATACCCCCAAGCCGGAAATGGGCCAGATTGGAAAAGGCAATGGGCCTGGACAACAATGGCAAATTGATTTTACAGAACTTCCAAGAAAAGGGGGGTATTGATATTTATTGGTATTAACTGATACCTTTTCAGGTTGGCCAGAAGCATTCCCAACAAGAACGGCTAAAGCTCGGGAGGTAACTGAAATACTGGTACAAGAGATAATACCATGTTTTGGGGTTCCAGCAACCATATCCTCTGACAGAGGACCACATTTTGTCTCAAAAATAGTACAACAAATTAGCCGCCACTTGGGTATAGATTGGCAGCTTCATACTCCATATCACCCCCAGTCGAGTGGTCAAGTGGAAAAAATGAACCACTTAATCAAACAGCAAATTGTGAAATTAGGACAAGAAGCAAATTTGGCATGGCCTCAGTCTCTCCCTTTAGCCCTTCTGCGTATACGAACAAGACCAAGGGCGAAAGAAGGACTGAGCCCCTTTGAAATTCTGTATGGACAACCCTATGGGATACAGAGAGGGATGTCTGTACAAGCGGGGGATGAAATTATGACTTCTTACATGGTGGCATTAGGTAAGCGACTTAATAAAATCAGGAAGCACGTGGTAGGGACTCGAGGGAGAGGTTTGGATGGGCCTGTGCATAATATACAACCAGGAGATTATGTGTATATAAAGTCTCTTACAGAAAAAACTCTGGAGCCGCAGTGGGAAGGACCATTTCAAGTACTACTTACCTCCTTCACCGCGATTAAGATCAAGGAACAGAACGCCTGGATCCATCACACTAGGGTGAAGAAGGCACCCAAAGGACAATGGACTTCACAAGAAAAAGGACCTTTGAAGCTCAAATTTGTGAGACATTGATTGTTATGTTTCTGAGTTGGACCTTGTCCAAGGGGCAGGCTTGGGATCAAAATACTTATTTAAATATGACAGAGAGTATCTCGAAAGTACTAAATTTATCAGATTGTTGGGTATGTAATCCCCTTCCTCGGGGGAACATGGAACTCCCCTTTTTAGGAATCCCGACCACAAATTGGACATCTCTTATTAAAGACGGGCCAGACAGGAATGGATCATGCCCTCATGGAAAGGGAAATACCCAGCGGGGACCCAACTTTGATCTGGAAGTGCCCAACCCTAAAGAGATCTTAATTACTGGCCGTTGCTTAAATATTACTGATAATATTTGGGGAGACATGGATAATTGTAGCCTTGCGGGAAATCTGGGAACTTTTGATAAAGGAAAATTAGAACGTCTTGGACTAAACTTAAGTATCAGTTTCTATTATATCCGGAAACCAAAGCGGGGGGGCAGGAAAGAAGGGGCAAGAACAAGACAGAAGGGAGACGCATCTCGGTCCAAGATGCAACACAGGGCCCGGGTACTGGTGGCTCTGTGGGGATGGCAGGGCCAGAAAGAGTTTACCCCAGAACTGGAAGGGACACTGTGTTCGAGGGTACCTTGCACCTCAGACCAGTGTGTTCGAGGTAGCTACGCCTCCCCGAGGGTTTTTGAGAACACCTTGGCTCCGTGTAAAACGGGCTGAAAACCCACTAGTTATTCGAGGTACTGGGTACCATAGTTTTGTCCGATGGTTAATCCCCTCTTTAGGGGTAAGCGAGTTGGAGAAAGCTATCGTGAATATATCTGCTACATTAGAGATTATAGAAAGTGCTACAATTGATGCAATTCGAGGGCTGCAACTGGAAATACAATCCCTAAGTAAAGTAGTACTCCAAAATAGAATGGGATTGGACATGCTTTTAGCAAAAGAAGGGGGCTTATGTGTAGTTATAAACCAAACTTGCTGTACCTATATCAATCAAAACCAACGAATTGAAACAGATCTTGAGGAGATATGGGAAAGGACTAAAATACTACATGAAGTTTCCCAAGATGACACTTCTTGCAGCTTGACAGGCACATTAGAAAAAATAACCTCCTGGTTGCCAAATCTGACATGGTTAAAGCAATTGTTTGTCACTATAATCATCATCATTCTCTTGTCTGTGGTCCTTTGCATAGTGGTTCGATGTGGCCTTTTGTGCTGTAAGAGTACAGGAGACTCTTACAGTGAATGGAAAAAGAATCAGTTACGACGAAAACTGGAGACCAACAAATACTTTGAGAGGATGCTAGATAGGGAAAAAATGTATTAGAAGTACTAGGATTAAATATAGTAAAAGAATTTACTATTTTCTAGAAAAGGGGTGACTGAGACAAGGGGAGTCAAAAGAATCTCAGTAGACATAATAAAGGGGGGTGAAAGATGATGTTTAGTGCTTCCATTGTTGAAATTAGCTGAGGTAGAGACAGTCCTTGATAAGAAGAGCTGGTCCCAAGAACCAGCCAATGAGGTAGAGACAGTCCTTGATAAGAAGCAGGAGCAGGCCCCAAGAGCCAGCTAAGACTGGTCTTGCGGCTTGGGTGAATACCAAGAAATCACTGAGCCTGCGCAAGGAAAGAGGTTACTAGCGGTGACGAAGAGGAGTCATCTATCTTCATCTCTGCGACCACCAGACGACCACCATAAAGAGGCACTGTGCAAGCGCAGTTGAGAGGAGACTATGGAAATGACCTCTCGGAGCTAATTTTAATATGAAGCGGGGATAGGTCATGCATATGTATAGGCGTATTGTGAATATGTAATACCTGACTGTATAAACTTTAGGCGAACTGCCGAGTCACGCGCGCACAACTTTGGTGGGACTACCCCCCGTGCCACCCAGCGCTGAACGAACATACCTACTTTACAATCTCACTGATTGTGGAGTCTGTTTC